TGGTTCCATATTTGCTAGCTTAGAATCTCTTGGGTTTTTTTATATAAATGACGTGGAATCACAATATTGCGCACTTATGCTATTGTTTTAAAAAAGGGCATAACTACAAACCCAACAACTATAGGCCAGTCAGTTAAACCTGAGTGACCAAAAAGCTTTTAGCAACGATAATCAGGTACCAAACTTAATAATCACTTGGACAATTGTCAGTTAATTAAGAAAAGTCAGCACAAATCTATTAGAGGCAAATTATATTTATCTAACTTAATTGAGGTTTCTGATTAGATAACAATGGGGTTTGATTAAGTTAATGTGTTTGATTTGTGGCAGCATGGATATGAAGTTGGTTGAGTGACAGGAAACAGAAGTAGTGGGATTAGCTGTTTTTCAGACTCCAAGAAGCTGTACTGTGGGGTTCACTGGGACAGTACTGGGATCACTGATACGCTTGATACAGATCATTGATGTAGACAGGACACAATTTCAGAATTTGACACAAAATTTGGAAGTTGTGATCTGTGAGAAAGATATTGATTGACATTAAAAGGATATAGAAATGTAGGTGGAATAGACGGATATGAGGGAGATAAAATTTAATGGCCAGAAGTGAGAAGTGACAAATTCTGGGAGGAAGAATGAGGGAAGGCAATACAAAGTACAATTCCAAAGGAGGTGCAGGAACAGAAAAATTTGAGGTGAAAATGCACAAATCATTGAAGGTGGCAGGGCAGTCTGAGAAAAGACATAGGGGATCCTTAGTTTTATAAATAAAGGCACAGAGAACAAAAGCAAGGAAGCTATGATGAACCTTTATAAAACAATGCTCCATATTATGTGGAGTATTGTGTTTAGTTCTGTGCACAATACTAGAGGAAGGATGTGAATGTGAATGACTTTGAGATGGTACACGGAAAATTGATAAGTTGTTTCAGGGATGAGGGACTTCATTTATGTGGATAGATTGAAAAAGACAGGGTTGCTATCCTTAGAGAAGAGAATGTTTAAAGGAGATTTGATAGAGGTATTCAAAATCCTGAGGGGTCTGGATAGAGAGGAGCTGTTCTTACTAGTGGAAGGGTCTAGAACTTGAGGACACCAATATAAGTTGAATGACACTGGAACCAATAAGACTATGAGGAGATAAAGACAAATCGTTGGAAAAGGTCAGCAAGTTTGGCAGCATCAGTGGAGAGAAATCACGAGGAGATACCGTTTTCTATAAGCTAATCAAGGTTGATAATACGTATCAAGAAAAGCATTTCTACTGAACCCTGAGGAATCCTACTGTATGAAGTCAGACTCAATAGTCTTTCCAAGGGGAATGAGATAAACACCGGAGGGAAAAGAATTTGATTGGGGAATAATACCAGCTGAGTTGCTCTTGCGGAAAACCAGTATGGACATGACAGACTGAACAGCCTCCTTCATGTAACATGAGGAGCATATAGATAGCCTGAAGATTGTGAAGCAGTGATTCTATTCCACTAGGTATCAGGTCTTTACAAACAAGAGGAAAATTAAGATTCAACTAGGGGTACTTGCATGGAATTAACCCTGTGGTTCACATCTTGTTGAGGAAATCTTTTATTCTTCTCTCCCTTTCTCCATGAAGTTGCTTTCTGACAACGACCCTTTGTCCTCCAAGGTCACTGGCCTTTTCAATCTCCCTTACTCAGTGCCCTAACTCCCTGTTGCCACCTGCTGCTGGAGGCAAGATAGCATCTGTACTGTAACTGTTCTACAACTCAATTCAAAATTTTAGGTAGTTGCGAACTCCAACTTGCTTTTTTTTACCAAATGTTGTAAGTTACTTAATCAGCCAAATCAACAGTACTGAGCACTTTGACTGCAAAGATTTCTTATATCCTTGGTTCTTCATCTATTTGTTCTAACTGACTGCCTGCATGTGAATGATTCAACCCAATAGTCTATGCTGGTATTTAGCCTCCATTTGATCTTCCTGCCATTATTCCTTATCTAAATCTACCACTCATTGGACATGGGTATCATTGGCTGACCAGCATTTATTGCCCATCCCAAGTTGCCCCTGACAAGATGCTGAGCTGCCTTCTTGAATCTCTGCAGTCCGCATGCAGTAAGTTGACTCACAATGACATTAAATAAGGCAATTCCAGGACTTTTACCAGCAACACTGCAGGAACAGCAGTATATTTCTAAGTCAGGATGGTGGGCGGCTTGGAGGGAAACTTGCAAGTGGTGGTGTTCCTCTATCTCTGCTGCCTTTGTCCTTCCAGATGGAAGTGGTCTTGGGTTTGGAAGGTGCTGTCAAAGGATCTTTGGTGAATTTCAGCAACTCATCTTGAAGATAGCTGCTACTAAGTGATGGTGGTGAAGGGTGTGGATGTGTGTGAGTATGGTGCCAATCAAGCAGGCTGCTTTGCCCTTGAGCGTTCCTGGAGCTGCCTCCATCCAGGCAAGTGGGAAACATTCCATCATTCTCTTGAATTGTGCCTTGTAGATGTTAGACAGGCTTTGGGGATTCAGAAGGTGAGTTACTTGTAGGAGTATTCCTACCCACTGACCTTTTGAGGAGGGTCACTGGATATGAAAAGCTAACTCTGATTTCTCTCCACAGATGCCACCAGACCTGCTGAGCTTTTCCAGTAATTTATGTTTTGTTTCAGATTTCCAGCAATTGCAGTTTTTTTTGGTATTGTATTGGGTTCAGTGGGGCCATTTCACTAGGTGTAGGCTGTAAGAGGTTGGGGGAGGGTATAGTTGGAGGTGTGAGTGGTTGAGTCAGAGTTCAGTTCAATCGTTACTCAGAACTTTGAACAGATCTTTAATCCTCTAACTTTACTTGAACAACTATTACCTTGAAGTGAATGGGAAAGCTCCGGGATCTCCTATGGTGGAAGTTCCAGACGCTGGGGGATTGCCCAGTGAAATTTCCTTGTCAATCTTTAAGCCGCTGAAATGCCCACTAAGTGAAAAATTGCTGCAAACAATCACAACCACAACAGCTGCAACCACACCTCAATATCTCTTTAAAGAGGTGCCGCCTGGCGTTGTTACAAAGAGTACCGATATTTTGTTTAAATATAGAGAATAACCAAGTGAACTTTATGGGTGGTGCAGGAACTGAACTAGTCTGCGGCCGGTGAGAATACAAAAGCAACTTCAAGCCAATCACTTGGCAATGTTACCCTCATGCAGCACAGTTAATCCCAGAATTGTGATTTTAAAAAGCAGTATTTTTGTTTCGATTGAGTGAAAGAGGTAAACCTCACTGCAGTTCTGTACCTCTGTTAAACACGATCCTTTGTATGCTGAGGCCGCCATGGATTTGATCCTTAGTTTTTGTTTAATTCTGGAGGAGGTAATTAATGCCCACTGGATTTCCGAGTGAAGAGACAGTAAAGTTTATCAGATCCACTAGGATCATTAAAACTCTCGACGTGGTTGTAATGATCCACACTACATTGGGGAAAAAAAAACAATTGGATCATTTCTTTATTTAATCATATGGGTTAAGTGTATTATCTATTGATTTCATTTCAGAATCTACTGAGTAATGGTCATAAGTTATCCAATCCTCCTTATGGCGGATTGACTGGAATTAAGTTCTCTATTCTACAGTTCCCTGTTGAATATGTTCTATTTATTACGGCATAAAACCTATATAAAAAAGAGACTGCAGAATCAACAGAAAACAGCCACTAATAAAAAATGCTGAGAGCATGAAGTCAGTGTAATGTATATCGCAGGCTGGCCGCTAGATTGCGCTGATGGAGTGCCTTTATTTTAAAGACACTCACTGCCCTGACTCGATTCAGATTAACCATTCCAAATCCCCGCATATACACCTTCAATCTCAGCTCTTTTGGAGTGTGGGATGGGGCAGGGATTGTTTTAAAGTCAACGGGCAAGTCAAGCAATTAATGATTTTGAGCACTTGTCTTTGACGATTTAACCCTTTGCTTCGCCTCCCTTTTGACGGGGCGAACTGTGAGGGCTGCAGAAGTTTGCGAAGGTTCAAGCGACTTGTTGCAACCAGGTCCAATTCCCTCGAGATGGGCGACCACTCGGCCGGATAAGCTGCGTCTATCTTTGAACGTTGTACGTTCAATCGACATTAAAAGTTGAGAAATTCAAAGACTTGGCGTCCCCGAATTTGCAAACTGAAAGTGTTAGGCGAACAGGCTCATCTCTTGAGCGAGAATGTATTTCATTGCACGCTATTACCCACAGCCGCGGGCCGGAGCTGCAGTGAAGAGCTTCATTCTAGGTCAAAAGTTAAACCTGATGAAGTGGATAGTTCCAGAGGAAAGGTTTGGATCTGGCATACGCACCGCCTCTCATTAAAAAAAAAATCACGAGTGTGTAATCAATCTGAGGCGGGGAATATTGTGTGAAGTTAGTCTGACCTGTTTTGGAATTATAGAACTATGGGTGAGCCAAATGGGGAAATGGTGCATATTTGAGCTATTGTAATCCCCCCATCTCCTCCACATTTCGCTTTCACGGTGTTCTGCCTAGTGTGGAGCCAGTACTTTAGCAGAAGAGGCTATGCTGCAGCGGCGTCCGGTTTAAAGCCATTTCCTGATGATCGGTAACATTCATCACATCATTCATATCTTACAGGGAGGAGTGGCAGAGACTCGCCAGGCCGGGTTTAACTGCAGGGGTCATCAATCATGAGTCTTGCCGTGGTGTCAGTGGCAATGGGGAGCTGGACTGGAATCCCAGTGAAGTGAGAGGCAGTTCCATTGCTCTCTCTGTGTGTATCTCTCTGGTTTCAGAGCCAACCACGTGGCGTGTGTCAGAGCCACTAGAGCAAAACTGGGAATCAGCAACATCCCCAGGCTACAAGCAGTCGGATGGTCACATTCACCGGCAAAACCTGAGTGCAGGGCGAGGGAAGACCAAAAACAAACAAAAAAAATAACATAACAAACAACTAGAAAACTCTCTACAAGCACCGAGAAAATAGAAGAGTGAGGAGCGCCGAAAATGTATTAACTAACTTGCTCCGTTCGTGGAACGAGTAGTGAGGATAGCGAGAGAGGAAAAAAAAGCCCTCTAAATATTTTCAAATCTTCAGTCAGATTCAAAGCGGGAGCATTTGTCAAGTTGGAAGTGACGGTAAGACACGCGATTCCCATTGATTGAATTCTTGCTGCTTTTGACGAAGGCTTGAAGTTCACCAGAGAGCAAGGCATTCGGTGTTTCGTTTTGTTTTAAAATCCCTTTCTCCTTCCTTTCTGTGTGCAGGACCCGCTCCTTTTGCCCCTGTCCATTCCTAACACTGGATATATGCGAGAGCCGAGTGAGAGGCAGCACTTCAGAGACAGCAAGCCAGGATGAGGTATCCCGTTCATCATCCGTTCCTTCTCGTTCTGCTTCAGTGTTTCCTTCACACGGTAAGTGCTATTTACACGGTGCTTTTTTTGAGAACTTTCTGGTTTTTTTTAAAAAGAAATCTGAGAGTGTAGGACATTATTCGGCACCAACCAAGGGGCAGGCAGACCAGCGATCGATACTTGAAGTGCTGTTATTGGCTTTGGTGTGGATTCAGTTCCATTAACGGTAAAGTGACTACAGCCCCTGGTGCTGGCCTGGGTGTGAACGTGTCCTCTCTTATCCCCCTGTTCATATCAGGGGCTGGTTAATTCTCACGGAGAACTAGCTGCGGCTCCGGTATGTCACTGGACTGCGGTTAATAACTTGGCGTGAAATAGCGAAAAGGGGGTCGGATATTCTAAATGGCAATGATTAGTGACTGCGAGGGTTCACTGCAAGTTATTTTCAAATAGAGGGTACGCCGTGGAATACTCTCCTAAGAAATGTTTGGCCATGGACTTCCCGGTTTGGCAGCAAGAAAATAATTATCTGGGAATATTGGCCAGCTCCTTCTAACTGTTTAAATCGAACCTCCAGTGACTCGGATCTTTCAATCGGCGAAATGTGTTTTACTTTGTTCAAAGACATGGTCGCTGCTAATTCAGTAATGCAACTTGCAGAGATTAAGCACTCTACTTAAGCACTAGTTTCTGATGTTACAGCAAGGAGTTGATTGATTAGGTTTTGAGCAAGCTTATGTCAGAATCTAATCCGTTTTTGGATTGTGTCAGTGTTGTAATGTTTTCTACTCTGGTGCTTTATCACGGCAATGAATTACAGAGCTGCAGCCGAGAGATAAGGGATCCAGTGCTCCGTGCCGTGCTCTTCCATTCAATAAGCCAGCCTTTTGTTCCAATCTTCTCCACACCAAAGTTTCAAATCAAATTGCTTAAAAATGAGACTTTTTGCAGATACGGACGCATTGCAGACCGAGGCAAGTCTGCGTTTCAAATATTGCCTTTTGGATAATTTCCACACGAGAAATAAATTACTTGCGGATTTAAACCACGTCCAATCTTAGAATACAAGCATCCATCAGTCTAATTCGAAGGCCAGACATTTTCAAGAGACAATCTAAAACTGCAGGTACACCGCTCCCATTGTCTAGCTGTGAAACGATGGTCTAGTGCTAGAAAAGGCCGAAGTTCCCGTAGAACTCATTAACTCCAAGGTACCAGACCTCTTCCCACGCAGGCGTCTCCCAAAGATTTGAATTCCCAAAGTGTGCAACATAACTTGCAGCTTTACGGTTTGAAGTTTCAATTTTCTGGAAGTCGTTTGTCATTTCTATTTATTGCGCATGGATTCATTAGTTAAAGTACCGAAATTTGCTGAATGCAAATACTTGCTTTCAACTTACGAGATGCACGCCCATGGTATATTCTCGGGACAGCGTAGAGAAAAGGATGCAGTGATGAATATGCTACTGCCCACAACTCATGATGCTACACTATTCTAGCTATTTTAAGCCTAATTAAATATAACATTTCAAATGTAAAACCTACAATGCAAGAGATCAAAATGTAACCGATACGTTGCCTGCCGCAGACTAAACCAACAGGGTTTGTGTTGTAAAGGATTTTTTTGAGAACAGCCCGATATTTGTATGCCTAAAACATTGTCGGTTCCTTTTAAACTAGTATATAAGTTGGCGAGGGCTAAGAAATTATGAAATTTCATCAGGGGCATACTTCATTGAACAAGTTGACAATAATCTGACTGGGACTGATGGATGAATTATACTTTAGCGCTACACTTTTCATGGTTTGAACATACGTAACGAAAAAAAAACAAGTTTAGAATTGTTGTACACCATCAAGGGGTTCGTTTTCATTTTTCTTCATCAGTGCAAATGCTAATTAGGCAGTGCCATCCATCTACAGTGACTTGCGGGCAGATTTGTCATGTTGCAGAAATAATTTCTTTCCCAGAGCACTTAAATGAATCTAAACTGCATGTTGGCCGAGTATCATGGTGCCCATTCATCAAACAGTACAGTTAGATGAGAAACTGGTTAATCTGTTGTCGCGGTGGTCTCCATATTTCCTAAATACAAGTAACGTGTTGCTCATTCCCACTTCAGAAAATTTTCCGAAGCCAATAGCCCATTTTGGAGTATGATGGTATTGAAGGTGATAACCTTATCATCACTGATACCTTACTGAACTGGGTGATTGATATGAGCGAATTTTGTTCAGTTGGTGAACTACTCAATCATAAGAAACAAGAAAGCTGAACCCCGGTCCTACCCATGCACGTGGCTCTCTGAGAACCGGCTGTTTGGCGATCAGAAACCTCCAGATCCTATTTTACTTATAGTAATTCCTTATCCTGCCCTCCATTCTGTCATTTAGCCAGGTATGGGACTATTTTGGCATATTAGTATCATCCCAGGTCAGTTTGGTCAACAAAGTAGGACATGTGCACAGAACCTTTCTGATTATATGATTTTTGTATCTCACAGTTCATTTTCCCACAGGGGAGGTACACAATCTTTCTCCAGTAACAATTGCAAATAATAAAAAGTCTTGAAAGGCTGACTATATTTGTAAATTTACCTGAACAATTACATGCTTTAAATATTGATTTTTGATATACATTGTGCTTTTGGGTACAAACTTCAGGCTCTATTTGTCAACCCCAAGCTGCTATGAACAATATCTTCCATTTTCTCTAGCTTGTACTCAAAATCTGATATGTCTGTTGTTAGCAGTTTATAATGTGTGATATAAGTCTGTGGATTTATTTAGCGTTGTAGGAAATCTTTCAACCACTCATCTTTTAAAACTTCAAAGTTGACATGCTAGAATGTCCATTTTGCAAGATTAATATTTGAGAAACAGAACCAATTAATCCTAACATGTCATGAATGTACTACTTTGTGATCACACACAGAGCTTGATACGTGAGATTACCGGAATATTACATCAACTAAATAACTATAATTTATCACTTTAGTTTGGGAAACTTGGTCGGCATGGACAAATTGGACTGAAAGGTCTGTTTCTGTGCTGTATAATTCTATAACTCTGTAATAAAATAAATAGCTTAACATATTTTGATATAGTGATTAATTTCAAAAGTACGTTTGCATCCAAAATGTTTAATGAATAGTAGTCGGTCTAAGGGGTCAGTTACTGAAACTGAGTCATTCTTGAGATGAATGAAATGCAACACAAAAATGTTTACTTGTAATTTATTTACATCTTGGAAAATTCAGAACCACAAAAAAGGTGTACTGATTAAAATATGAATGTGCTGATTTGTTCAGTAGAAAAATCTAAATGTGAGATCAACAGTCCTGAACAAATAATGTAACAAGGCCTCATTCACATGGAAAATTGTGGAATATTGCATTGATTTCAATGTACTTCAGTGGCAAATTTGTAGTAGTTTGCCTCTGGTCTTGGATCATGGAAAATGTGTTTTAGGGATTATTTCTGAAATATATCTACTATAATACTTCTATAATAATTCCAACAACAATGAACTGAGAAGATGTCTTGATATTCATAGATTGTAGCACCCTGGGGACTATTTTCAGTTGAAAAAAAAGCCAACAGTGAAAATGGACCCTGGTGCACCAAAATCTAGATAATTGGATGTCTTTGAAGTAGTTCATTATGGATGTGTGGCATTTTACATTTTCTTATCGGAATTTGCATGCAATTTGCATTACTAGTCTGTTGATTTCACAGCAGCAGCTCTGATGTAGAACAATGAAGCACTAAAATTGAGCGAAAGAGCATTTTGTAATAGTTGCCAACCAATCAGAATCTTTCTTTAAGACTAGCTTTAAGCTAAGTCTATAATCACTTCGTTCAGGAGCAATGATCATTTGTGTGCAGTCTTATATTGAAATTGCCCCTTGCCTTTTTGCATCTAACAGCATTTTGTATATCGTTAAATGTGTTGACTATGGAAGATGAATAAAATAAGGCCTGACTTAGATCCTTTCAAATTACAGGTATTACAAAATATTTTGGAATTGGGCTATTCAAAATAATATTAATATTAATCCCTAAATAATGGTAAAAATGGTAGCTACCATTTAAAGGATGGTTTAAAAAATTCCACTCTATTTTCATCTGATGCAATGAAAGATGTTGCAGAATCTTCATTTGACAAAAATATCCCGTAGTTATTTTACAATTGTTCAAAAAGCATGCCATTTGAATAAAACTTGTAGAAAAATATTCAGGACATCTTTATGGTCACTACTATTTTACATTATCAACAATCTAATAATTAATCAGAAATGAAGAGTTTCAGTATAACATCATGGCACAAGTGATCTTTTTTATTTCATAATTGTGAAATCAAAATGATTACAGATGTGACTGAATATAGCTTGCCTGCTTATCCCATTGATTTGTATCTTGGTAAATAATATTGTTCAATATGTATTGTGGCTGTTCTGGGTGAAAAGAAAATATTGCAAGGTCAGTTATTGATAATTGATATAAACAGCAATATTGTCATTGGATAAATTTTAGATTCTTTTTCCTGATTGCAGGATTTTAAATTACGTTCTACTGTATAAAATGCTTTAATAAATTGCATAGTTGTTGAAATACATGTTTAGCATATGGAACTGATGTATCCTCATGTTTGCAAAATTATCTGTCTGCACCTAATACTAATATTACTATACTGCATCCTGTGCCTCAGCTAACCCATCAAATGCTTAAAACATTCAGAGTTTTTCAGTGCCTGTTCATTTCATTCAAGACATAAAACCCAGAGCATTCTATATTTAACTATTTTTGCTGAATTGTATGTTTACTCGGGGTACTATTTGTTTTAGTATCCCTGGATCACAGCCTCAAAGGCCTTCTGTGCTGTGCTAATCTATGATTTTATTTTCTACAACATTTCTTGCCAAACATTAGTTATTTATTATTGGCCTTATCTGCCCCTCTTTAAATACTTATTTCATTTGTAGACTTTTAAAATAAATTCTAATTATTTAACTTTTAACCAGAGTGATAATCAGTTAGGAACAACATTTTAATTTCTA